AAAAGAAGCAATTGCATTAACTAAAATGAAACTTTTGTCTTTCACTGCTGCAATGTAAAACTGTCTGATTCTTTATGCTGGATTCTACTCCGCATCAAAGAGACCATTAAACTTTCTCTAAATGCAAGCCTTTTATAATCTCTTACATTTTAAAGGGGAGCAATGTAATTAAAGGCCACATTCTGGCATGATGGTAAATGAAAAAAAGCTGGTAAATATTTGCTTGCTTGAAAAAAGAGAATAAACGTGCCTGATTGCTATTCCTAGATGGACTTTCAGAAGTGATTAAATTCTGTTATCCCAAGTTAAAGTGCTTAATTACATTAATCTGTGTTTACCTTCTGCTGTACCACTGAATCCAGAAGTAAAATGTATTTGTAAAAAAATCTGTATCACAGAGGAAAGTGACTTGGCTTGCAAACATGGTTTCCATGCCATCTAAATGAGCCACATTTCCATGGGTTAAGGTGATGGGTTTGGCAAGGTTATTTTGAAAAAATGATTTGTCTATTGATTTTAACTTCAAAAAGCACTACCTGTGATTATGCAGTTGACTTTGTATCAAACAGAACCTGAAACCGATTCCTCTTTGAGCAGCAGCGTTCAAATGCTGGACTCCACTGATGTTTACGTTACTCAGAAGCTACTAGCCACCCTTATGAGTACAAAACTGAAGCTTATGCTTTCACTGCATTTCTCTAGCTTAGACTTGTAGCGAGGGGATTGTGTGTCTTTCCTACAGCAAACTGCCTTCACCTATTGAATGTCTATTCTCCAGATAATTCCCCAGATAAGCAGTGATGGTTTGTTCAAAGAAAACCATTGGCCTTTAAATATCCTTCATGCAGTGTAGATATCAGGTCTATATGTGATGGTCCTGCAACAGGCACTGCACAATGCAAGCATTTTGATAGTAAACTAAAAAACGGATTTGATCATGCTTCTCTAAGAATTCAGAACAGGCCAACATCACAGGAGTGCGCTGAAATGAGAAGTTGCATGAACACATATAATGTAGTGCAGAAAGGAGAAGGACTTTAGACTAGGTCTCATTCAGTGCTGTCAGTGACTAATTGGGTGTTCAGCAATAATAGAGTTACAGTCAAAGCTAGTGGAGGGAACCATTATACAAGTTCCAGGGGAAAATTAATTTAGACCTGAATTCTGAAATGGGAGAGACCAGGAGGATTGTGCTAACCCTCATGAGAAAATAAATCTCCAGAAACCTCTGAGCAAAAAAGCTGCCAAGGGCCTATAGAACAGATATTAACAACTAACTGAAGGGCTTCTCTGCTGGAGAACTACTGTCAAAGGGAAATAATTGACTGTCAGGCAGCATCAAGTAGAAACTACGCCGTCTGGCAACTTTCTGTTGAGTGGGAGTGTTTTAGAGGCTCATGATGAGTAAGTGTAAGAACACCAAGAATGTCTAATGTGTCGTACAAGAACATAAAAGCAAACGATATCCTTACAGAACGTGGTTAATTCATTGAGAAGCTGCACTAAGTTCCCATAAAGAGAGGTCTGGTAATGGTTTGGGATGGCCTAGGTACAGTTTCACTGCAGGCAGAGCTCTGGCTGCAAGCCAGATACACTCACATAATCCCAGCTGGAGCTGGTGGCAGTGACATCAGCCCTGGCTGGCCCAGCCACCAGCCTACTCTTGCACCTGGGTACAGATGCAGCTGCCTAGCCTGCACTACCACAGCCTAGTTGCTATTTGTATCTGCTCCCCGCAGGCAAAAGCAACACCCTTTCTTCATTGAAGCCGCCCCATTATTCTGCAGGGAGGCTGCCTAGGGTACAGTTTTAGAGCAGCTAATGATTTACTGCAGCAGAAAATAAAAAGGCTCATCTCCCTTTTTGTCCCCGCTTTGCACTCATGAGACCTTTAAGTCTCCAGCTGTGGAGAGCTGTGCACTCCCCCCTTTGGCTAGGTTTTTCTTCCAGCATCCTGAGCTAAGGTGGCACACAGAAGTCTGACTCACACCCAAGTGGCAGCACCAGGTAAAAAAGGGGAGTGTGAAGGTAAGAGGGGAGACCACTGCCCTCCTTGGACAGCCTGCACTTGGCGAAGCTCGTACACAGAACTACAGCAGTTCAACTCAGAAAACATGCTTTTGCCCTTCACATCTTTTTTAATTTCTTGATGTGTGTCACGTTCTCCAGTGATTTAAATCCAGCAAGAAGAATAACCTGGAGAAGTGCTGTGCCCCTTTACTAGTTAGGGTTGTTTTAATCTGCATGAGTAACATTATGCAGCGCTTACAGCGTTTTCTGTGTCCTCTGCCAGCTAGAAGGCCACTACGGAAACAGAGACCCTTCTAATTTGAACCCAGTCAGATTTTATCAAGACAGTGAGCAATCTTTGGTAGGCCCCTGGACAACTTCTACCCTCGGTCTGCACTGAGATCCTCTTCCAGGATTGTAACAGAATGCTCTTGGAGCAGAAGCCTTCACCTCCCCAGGCTGTACCATACCAACTTCCTTTGTTATAAGAAGAATGACTTTTTCCTGCCTGACATTGAGGCTACCTGACAAGACATTTTTAACTACACACACTAGCACTAGGAGGATTCTCTCTTTAAACACATGACCATGCAACAGGCAAAAGATGGAAATTGTAATGAAGATGGCAACACACCATCCAGAGACACAGCTTTCTGAGGATCAATACTGGCACTCTTTTTTTTTTGTATAATCTTGGGGATCAGTAAACTGGGTGGTGGAATTTAGGAAAAGGCTTCAGAAGGGAAAGAACTCTAAATAGAAGTACACTCATTGGATAAAGTAATGGAAAGTACAGACTATAAATAGGTATTGTATGCCTTTTCAAAAATGAAGATAGGAACAAATTATTTGAAAACAGTGGAAAAGACCAAGGACACATCAAAAGGGCATAAAAAACAAAGCAAGGGAAACCCTATCTTGTGATGTAAAGGCCAGGAAAGAGCTGCTACTTTTGTTCCTTTTAATCTTTTTAACATTGTGGAAGTGACCTTCCTGTGAAGATAAGGCCAGGAGCTTATCTTCAGTGGAAGCAATCCCCTCAGTTCATTAGGCAGCTGTAAAAGGAGGCTAAGTGCAGGTATTTGGAATTTAAGGGTGAAGGCCGACTGCAATGCATGCATACAGCACTGAAATGGGTGAAGAGACACTAAAAGAAAGGTCTCCCTGATCTTTCCTTCTTCAGGGGATACCAGGAATACTGGGGTAAAGGCAAAGAGAACAAAAAGATAAGGAAAAGAAGAATGTATCTATATATAATTCTTCCTGACACAGCCAGGGATAAACCAATTGGTAAGTCTGGGCTTTAAAAAGTCATATCCCTCTTTGCAGGACTTTGGCTTTCCACTCCACCTTCCTCTGAAGAGGAGGCAGGGCTGGGTTAGGATAACATGGGTGTGCCTGATCTGATCCATTTCCGGTGCCTGTAAGCCAGCACAATCCTTCCTGATTTCTCTGTTCAAAGATGTAGCACACATAAAAAGTAAGTGTTTTAATTGAATTTTCTAAATGCTGAGTCATATCATTATTTATGCAGCTAATTCTGTCCTTCCTTCAGTCCCTGAAGTCACAAAAAGTAACTGTATTCACTGTTAATCCAATCATGGTAAAATGTCAAAGCTCTTCCCCTGCCTCCCTGTGCCCACTTCCTCCCCTCAGAATAAGGTCTTCCGAATATCTACATCAACTATTGCACTCGATTAAAAAAACATACACACCAAGTAACCCCTTTCCCCCCCTTCTCATAAAAGCAGCATAACAAATAGCACAACTGAAAAGAAGACCTGTCATGACAATTATTTTCTCAGCAAGTAACACTGAACATCAAATAACTGGAGACTGCATTTAATGGAGAACGGAGAAGAATTCTGCTTGTGGTGGTTTGTTTCATTTTGTTGTTTGGTTTGTCTGGTTTTTATTTAAGACCTTGGTTTACATCAGGGCTGAGAGCCACGGATTTTTTTTTTTTCTTTTTGCAGTTCTTAAATCAAGCAAAATAAATTCCAGTAGGAAAACAAATCCAATCCTGTGTCCCAGTAGCGGTACTGTATGCTAACACATTATTTTCAGGAATGTTTGTCAAGAGAGTCTGCACAGTGTTTGGATATTTACAGAAGTTTAACTCCCTGCTCTCCTAAAAAGCTGTTCCCTCATCCTTAATCCGACATAGGAGAGGAATCCACCATACCCAGAGTCCCACCACCTACCTGTTCTGCATTCAGTCAGAGCACCACAGCAATTCGGTGCTCACACAGGCTGTGTGTCACCTTGCTGTGCATTTCTCTCCCCTTGCCAGTTCCAGGGCTTGAAGCAAGTGAGTGCTTTGTTCTGCGTGGCATCTTACCCAACAGTACTTGCTTCTATACTCCTTAACACAGTGCCCTGGAGAGCTCATCATTCAATTCAGTGCATCTTTGGAAGTCTTACACCACATTTATGTCTTTCCTAAATGCGGTAAGGAACAGTGCCAGGACAGAACAACCAATGACTGTTGATCACAGTTAGCACTGGTCTAATTTACAAACAATAAACTCTCTGTGCAAAAAGGTTACTAGCAGAAGCATCAAGTTTTGCTGGTCCTGAAAACTAAAACTCCCATATACAGATATGCATGAATTTAGAATCAAGAACTACTAACACATGACACTATCATTTGGATTATCATTCTAGTTGGATTCAGAGAGAAAATTAATTTATTAGTCTAACAGGGCTGATAATACACATTGTGCTGCACTCCCTCCTGATCACTCTCTCTGCACTCCAGCCTAGCAAAAAGCATGCCTGACACTTTGCAGTTGCCTGGATCCTTTGTTGGAGCATCACACCATCTTTTGTGGGTGTGGGTTTGCAAAGTGGAAAACCCACTGGATTAAGGCAGGAGACTGATAGAAGCAAGCAGTTGGTCACAGACACAGCCAGTTAGACACAATCAGATTGAACGGGCAAGACTGCCAACAAGTATGTATTTATGTATTTACACCTCAAAGTCCAGGAGTCTTTGTAGCCTTCTCCCTCCAGTCTGCACACTGAAACTGACAAAAATAATTTGTATACACACTGCACTTACAAAACAGTGAGGGGAGCGGTAACAAAAAAAAAGGAACGCAGCCAGGCCAGCGGCTTCATCTCGGTACAATCATCCTTTCTATGGCACACACAATATGATCCCAGTTTTTACAAAATATTGCCAGCAGCGTCACTGCGAAAAAAGTGCAGATGATATGAAAGCGGCTCTTCATCATCGGAGCAATGAACTTCGCAATGGTAGAAACGCACACCAAGATGACAGTCATGAAGGCCAGGATCACGTTGATACATTTCCCCAGGAGCACTTTGGCATTAATGGTTTCAGACTGCTGTGCTTGCTGTTCTTGCTGATGGAGCTCCAGTTTGGAGACCCGGGTCTGGCATGATTCCAAGGCTTCCTGAAGACAGAGAACAGGAATTAGGGCAGCTGGAATTCCATACACCACTTTCCTGTTTTAGCTGCAGAGCCACCCAGCAGCTAGAAGTGTAATTTTCTACATACTCCTAACATTTGAACGAACCACCAACTTATCTAAAGAAAATGAATGCACATCTCTCTCTGCACATGTGTATCGCTGCCTGCTCAGGCATAAGCAAGTCTGACAGCACTCTCCAAAATGTAGTTTTTATATTTTTCATGCTTGAGAAAAAGTATCATAAGTGTAATGTTCGTGACGGATGTTTTCTGCATATGCTGATGTGATGAAGCACTGGGAAAGCTGTTGCCATGGCAACTTTCATGACATTAAAACAGCAAAGTAAGTTTCTTCTTATATGCTATAGAATACGTCAGGGTAGTACAGGCTTGCTGTGCTACTAATTAATCTACTTTGCAACACACAGCATTTGATTTACACCACCTCTCTGGTCTACAATACTTTTCCTCTCAAAGCCACCCATAGTACAGTGCTGTGATGAGTCACAGAATGGTTCGGGTTGCAAGGGACCTTAAAGCTCATCCACTTCCAACCCCCTGCCATGGGCAGGGACACCTTCCACTAGACTGTTGCTCAAAGCCCCACCCAGACTGGCCTTGAACACTCCTAGGGATGGGACATTTCTCCTTGCAACCTGTCAGCATGAAGGCTCATTAATCCACACCTCAAGTGGCAGCTGAGGCAGTGAAGAAATCTGTAGCGATACTTTAAGGTATTCTCTCTCTCATGTGGCAGAATCCCCCTAAAAGTTGTAAGTTTTGCCCTAAAGAAAGTAGACCTCTCTCTTTTGCTTGAGTGTGGACTAAAAACGGTCTTCAAGTAAAATGGTTCCTATGACACTAAGCCACACTTAAGCCCCCTCAAAGTGAAACAGGGAAAAAATTCTAACTGTTCCATGTACTTGCCAAAATGCCATTTTTTGCTGAGTTTATGATTTGGGCACCCTGAACTTGACAAACGTTTACCACCATGTAAAAAGGAAAAACCATGCTCCAGCATCCGAACTTCCTTCCCCATTCTCAAACTCCAGACATTTTCTTTGCACTCCAGGGGTGTTTACCTGGTCGTACAGTAAGAAGCCGATTCAACCCAACCTTTTGTGTGAAAATACACAAACAAAACCACTGCACGTTGAACTACCGTACCATTTGACCAGCCTGGCACCAAATTCAGCACCAAGCATGTGGCACAGCACCTTATGAAAGATGGCTTCCTTTCATTGGTCCAAGAATTAGTGATAATACAGAAGATAGTTCTTATGGGTGGCACAAAGTCCCTTACAGTTCATGCATGCTCTCCATTACACACTAAAGAACTTCCCTTCTTCTTTCTTCTACTCTGACCGTAAGTTACTCCCAAATTATCTCGTGCTACATAAATCTACTCCCTGCAGTTCTGCACTGAGTGGTGGAGCAAATGTTTCAAAAACAATCTATCCACCCCTTCAGGACAGAGCACTCCAAAGGTAGGTTGTTACTTAAAATATCCACAATTTAAATGCTTTTCCTCTATTTTAGCCTATTTGCAAACCCCTAACAAGACAGGTTTAAACAGGCTCAACTATAAAGAGATAAAAGAAACAAGGCTGCATTGGTGTAGCAATTCAATCCGTTTTAAAAGTGTCTGACACCCCTGCAGGGTTCTGCTAATGAGCTATCAAACATTTCACAGCCCTTCTGCTGAAGAACTCTGGTCTCATTCAGTTTTCACATCCTCAGGATACCTTCACAGGAGTTCTGCATGAAACACCTCTCTCCTTTAAACCTACAAAGTAACCCATGATATGCTTACATTCAGTACCGTCCTTGCCGACTCTGTTCCCATGAGTTTCCTAAGCTCTCACACCAGACAGGAAACAGTTTGATTGTCCCGCTGCCTGCACTCTCTACACTTAAAAATGGGAGTGTAAAGGGGTACAGGACAGGGTTGGTTTGAGGTTTTTTTACCATCTGACCCAATACAACGACAGTCTTTGAGCATTCCTCAGTAGTCAGTGAACTTAAACCCAAGGCAAGGCAAACTAACCTTTTTAACAGTCTTCACCACCTGCTCAGACTTTGCGCAGAACCATTGTGCTTATATTGTACACAAGTATTCAAGTCTGTAACTACATGCTGTCAGGACAAACTGTAGACGTTATTAGTGGCTTTTAAATGAAGCCAGGCATGACTACAGCTGCTTACTGAGGTGTACACACCCTACAGCTTTGATTACAGGGACTCTGTGACCACAGAAAGTCTTAAATTACAACTGGCAATTCAACAAGTTTATTTATCAATTAGCTCTCTTTTGACCTTAAACTCAACTTATAATAAACCTTGTCAGTGATATGACTGCATACAGGAGAAAGCCTGAGCACGAGGTTTGTGTTAGGACATTATCAAATGTGGCATTTTATACAATACAAGGAGATTCAATTCCTTCCTCCTCAGGTGCAAGAAATTAAACCAGGCCATTCTTTGTCCACAAGTCTGCCTAGGCTACAGCATCCATTCCAGCAGATAAAATTCTAAATCCATTGAAACAAGTGGAGACTGTCACCAATTTAAAAGTGCTAGATTTTCAACTTAAAACAGACAAAACAGGAGCTTAAATGTTTCCCCAGATTCCTTAAATACAAAGACGTAGAAAGACAAAAGTGTTTCACAGTACAAGAGCTGTGCAAAATCTTACAAGTTTATTATAAGGAAAAACAAGTACCTGAACATCCCGTGATCGCTCATACGCCTGATAGGCCACTTTCTCCTCTATGCTGGCTAGCTCTTGTTTCAAGTTTGCTGTCTCATGTTGATGTAGATCAGTGAGGTCATTTAACTGGTCCTCCAATCTTTCATATCTTATTAGGAGAAAAGGTCTAAATTTAGTGCCTTCTATTCAAGTAATGCTTAATCATGAAAACAATTACACATTCTAAAAGCTAATTTCTGTGTACTATGGATTCATCTGACTGGCATTACAGAGCATAGAGAAATCAGGTAGAACTTTGGAAACTCTCCATAGGCATTTATTCAGCAAACTGAAAGCCTCTTTTGAGTGTTTCTTGCTGGTAGTGGATGTTAAAAAGCAAATATTTGTACATCATTGGCAAATTATACAAACGATAAACAGTGCCTAAGGACATCCAACTCACATTTTTCCATTTCTCACTCTTCATTTAGACAAGAAGATATGTGTCATAAGTGAGCTTCAGCCAGTTAACAGCTCACAAGTAGTGAAAGGAAAAAACATGTTCCCTGTCCCTCTCACAACTGCAAGGTCCTGCCATTCATGTGCACTGCCTGTTCTGTCACATCTGTGTGCAGTAAACCAGTTCAACTAAACCAGAAAACTAAAATCGGGGTTTTTGTGTGAATTTGTAACTTGATTTAACATACAAACAGGCAAACAATGTGGCTGCCACAAAAATGATAGAGGCAAATTTGCCTAGCTATGGAAGCACTGGTGGCAGGAGGCTTGAGACATCAATGGCAGTGAGCTGTCAGAAAAGGCTGCTCTACCTTCTCCTGAAGCCCAGTCCCAAGCCCAGTAAACCATTTGCTCTGTTCTCTCCTTCTCCATGTTACCACCTGATACCCAGCCTTCCCTTCTATTTCAGGAACTGTAAACAAGGCAAATGTTAAATACTGCATTTCATACTGTTTGCCCATTAGTGCAGTAAAGACTTCAGATGTCAACACTTACTTTAACAAGTGATATGACAAATGAAATATAGGTACAGGAGGCGCAAACCCTTTGCAGAACTTATCTCTCTTCCCACAGTGGATGATAAAGGAATTAGCTACCAAGTAACACATCCAAGAAGGGGTTGTGCTACAGAGCTTAAAATCCCATTCCACAGCTGTGTTACATCACGGTACAAAGTGACATTGCATCCATGATAGCAATGCTTCTGAGAACTGTCTGGAAAGGTAAGCAGGATGGAAGGCTATACTTATGAGCTCTAACTCAGATCTGCTATACTGTAGACTGATTAGCAATTTTCAAGCCCCAGTAGATTAGAATCCTTCCACTGGTTCCAAATCAGTTGGCATCTTATATGTGGTATTCATATAGTGTAGTATGTCAGATGAGAGAATTTTCTGACAAGCCTTCAACAAAAGGCAAAGAGCTACCACATCATTTGATAGGAAATATTAATGCTCTACATGTATTTTCAGTTATTGGAAGGAGTGGAACATTTTGGTACCAGATATTGATTGGAATTATTTTTTCCTCTTGCTTCTGAAATATCACATACACAAGCACATGCCACGTTTACACTTTCCAAACAGCTTCTATACTCATTCAAAAGTCATTTCAAGAGAGCAGTTAAAAAAAAAAGTACCTATATCTTTCCTCTTGTAACATCTGAGAAATAAAGCCATAGTCTCTTTTAAACTGTGTTTTTAAATTCTCTATATCATCAGCTAATTGCGACTGTGTCTCCTTGATTTCTCTTATTTCCTCCAAAATCATGGAAAGCTTTCCTTGGCTGTCCAGAGTACTTGCCACAGCAGGACCAAAGGAAGTATTCCCATTACTGTCTGCTGAGCCAGAGGTCCCACTTGAGCATTCATCATCACTAACGTATTTTGGTTTGGCAACGATAGTGGCACTGCCCCCGTATGTTCTGGAACTTGTTTCTGGCCGAAATTCATCCAAGGTGTTTTTGAGATGAGCAATGTTGTCTGCACTACCAAATTTGTTTCGGATCAGGTTTGCAAACTCTCTAGACTTGCTGAAAACAAAGACAGGTGGTGTCAAAGACACGCCTGGCACACCCGACTTGCTGCTCTCTGTTCCGTGCCCAGAGGTACGAGACTTGCCATGTTGAATATCTTTCAAGTTATCTTTGGAAGTATCCTTAGTAGTTTTGGAAGATCCATTTTGTTCAATATCTTTGAGCTTTTTGTGATACTGTTCCAATTTCTTCTGTAGCTGGGCAATGGAGTGGGCAGACTTCTGGTTCTTTTTCTCAAAGACTTGCTTAATGCGCCCAGCCTGTTGCTTGTCGGCACTATTTACCAGTTTCAAATACTCAGCCACATTGCCATCTCGAGCTGTTTGTTCAACTTTGATTTGTTCTGTAACCTTGAGGATTTTCTGTTTCAAGCTATCTGCACTGAGTTTAACTTTGTGAAACTCCAGAACCCCATCTGGTACATCAAAGTTCAGGTTAGTGTCAGAGCCTCCACGGCGAATGTTAAGCGGTAAACTCAGGGTATTCATGTCATGTCTTTCCACCTGAGAGAGAAAAAGAAAACAGAAATTGAATTTTACTTCTTGAAATCCAACTTTCAGTTTCCTTTTCCACGTCTAATTGTAACAAGTGCACAATATAAAGTAGCCGATAGTAGCAAAGCAGAATTAACTTTTTTTTGAAACCAAGCAGTGTTTTTCTTGACTTCCCTAGCTTGACAAATGGCCTAAGGAACTGTCTGTCTCTAGTAAGAAAGCAGTGAGATGAATTAAGAGTTCAAAGCATTCCAGTATAGGTTTTCAGAATCATTTATTCACAAAATCAGAACAACACCTGGTTAGAAAAGGTTCCTAAATATATTGTTTATCATTGAGAGTTTCAAGCAGATCCTGACTGATAATTGCTCCATATCTCTCTCAAACACCGATAAGAGATGTGAACAGAGTTTTCCCTCTACAGCAGTGTTACACTGTTCAGTATGTTTTACCAGATTAAAGTCCTTTTTTGATACATGCTCCTGCCATTCCAATCCCCCACACAATTCAGTTTTTCACAAGCAGCTGAAAGGTTTTGGAAATTTACTGCATGATTCTGCAGGAACCAGCTGCTGGTTTTTAGTACAAGACCACAGTGAAAGAAATGGCTCACAGTTGACTTTGCATGCTTGATAATGATGCTCAACAACTTGGTCGGCTGTGGTTCAGTCTGTTTTAACAGCAAAGTGTGTGTGTGTGTGTGTATATATATAGCATATATATATATGCTATAGCATATATAGTGAAAGCATATATAGCATACACATGTGTATATATATAGCATATATATATGCTATAGCATACATATATGTACTATATATGCCTTCACCATGTAGTATATATATCGTATATATATGTGTGTATATATATGTATATGTAGTATATATATGTATACTATATATACTATATATGCTTTCACTCAAGTGTAAGATCTGTATACCTTCACCATGCTCTCAGGAAATGTAACAAAACCAATCAGGCAACTTGGTCACCACACAAACACAACAGATTGTCTTTCTCAACAGAAAGGCAAGATAGTCTGATACAAAACATTAAAAGTATTTATTCATATAAAGTCAAAACCACAGAGGAAGCATGAGGCAAGAGTGATCCAACCAAAATAGCTTCATCCCTACTACCATCTTGGGCTAGCCTCTGTGACAAAGACATCACATGTCATTAAAGCTGCCACAGCATCACGTCTATAGAGACTGCTTAACAGATGCTCATTCACCAGCTTCTAAGAAAAACGGACACTTGAAAAAAGCAAACTAAAGAGTTTTGGAGTTGACAATTGCTTGGGGAGAATACCTGTTAATGGTGATCTCTATTCCAAGGATTAAACCAGTGCTATGGCCTTATAGCTCTGCACTTAACCAGTTTGTTAAAAATAATCAATGGAGCCATAGGCCTAATTATTAAAAAGAAGTGCAAGTAATCTTCACAAATGCATACAAATTGTAAATGATGTTGTATCATCAGCCATATGTCCTTCACAGAAAGTCTACTTTATTGGTATCTCATTTTAGTATTTGCACAGAGCTGACACACATGGATGGTGTTCTATATTCAGGGTGATACCTAATTGAAAGAGCGAAAAAAGTCACAAGTATCAAAACTATCTTTCTTGTTTTGTTATATTTATTTTTTTTAGTCTTAGAAATAGAACTAATAGGAAAAAAAAGAGCTTTTACAGATCACTTTTTTAAGTGATAACATGCATAATACTGTTGTGGTAGCTAAACCACACATTTAATATAAGCAAAAATAGTTTGACATAGGATTTGTATCTTTTCAAGCTCATAGAACAAAGAAAAGCAGTCAAAGCAAAGAGCTGAAAAACTTAGATACCAGATCAGTACCCCATATTGCAAATATTTCTTTAAATGGATTTACTGTGTCTGGACAAATTGAGTAAAGAGAAAAAGCTTGGTTTTTAACAATAGTTTCCTGAAAGAACCTAAGACATTTCTGAATAAGCTTTGGCACAAAATTACACTGTAATAAATCAAGAATTCCATATACACACACAAGACAGATCCATCACTGATGTCATTCAGGACAAGCTGCACATACTTCCAAGAATGGGTGAGTCTGTCTCTAACCTTTGCACAGCATTAAGTGTTTACTTCCTTAGTACAAAATAGTCTAAAAATGTATTTTAATAATTGGATACAAGCCCAAACCAGATCCCTTCTCCCTTATGTCCTCTCCCTCACTAGAGTCTCTAGCGTTCAGCAAGCTCTATCATCATTATGCGTCCCATGCCTTCCTGGAACTTCAAGGTCACAACAGCAATAGAGATAAATAGAACAATAGCATTGAAGGAATACATCTGCTGAAAGCCACGCTGTTTTTGGAGCTGAGGAAATCAATTAGCATATGGCAAATCTGCTTCTGAAATGAGTAAGACCAGTCATCGGGTCAGTGCAAATTCAGTGAAGTTTAAAGAAGAACTGTGTCTAAGTTCCCAAAACACTGCTAGGAGTAGGCTTTTTCGCTTACTAGATGAAGAGCTCACCAAGGGTACAGAAAAACATCCAATACGTTCCTCTGTCTGACTGTATTTGGCCAAAATGGCAGGTGTTCTCTTGCCATCATGCTGCAAGGTTGGGTCAAGCAAGAGAGGCTACTGAAATCATATATGTTCATGTAATGCATTTGTTGTTGTTTGGGCTTTGGTTTGGTGTTTTGTTTTTGCTTACAGTTTGTTGTTTGCTTTCTTTGGTTGTAGTTTTTGGGTTTTTTTGGAGGGCAGGGCTGTTTATTTGGATGTTTGGGAATGTTTTTTAAGCAAGCAGGCACTGAAGGACTCTGGTATCTCTAGACAAGTGGCCTATCACCTGTCTTCTACCTGGATGAGGTAGAACACTTGTGCAAAGATCCATTTGTGATTGCTTTGCAGCTCAAAACTAATATACCAGAGGTCAAACTTCAAATCCACCCCCAAATCCTCCTTGCTGCAAGTCTCATCTTGAAATGAGAATTGCCCTGTGTTCCCAACTAGCACTCCTTCCTGAAGCACTGTAAGGATAGCATGCACTTTTTGCTGTATTGAATACCCAGCTCCTTACACAGAGCGGAAAACTGTCAGTAGGAGTCTGAGATGCTGCCTCACCCTGCAGGGACGGGTATACTCTCCTGTGATGTGGATTCAAATCCTCCCACATGCAGGAGACTGAACACACATCACCCTCAAACTATGGGAGTGCTCTTCCAGCTATCTGGGGAGAGATGAATGCCACCCATGCCATTGTTCTTTGTTACTCCTGGGTCACCAGCACCTAACAAGGGCACCAAGATATTAATAATAAAGAATTTGACTGATTTATATATATATATAAAAGATTTTCATTATGGCTGCCAAAGATAGATATAGCTATAGAGACATATAGATACAGCTACAGACATATATACACACACAGAGTGGTGGCCTCAATGGCCAAAATGGGAGCAGCCGTATTTTTTTTCAGGAAGAAGCACTTAAAGAAAGAAGTATGGAATAATCATACATCTCTCCTGTGACAGTAACAATTAATAGGGACCTGGGAATTAGCAATAGATGAGAGGATGCAGTCTTGAGACAAGTGGTAACACAAGGAAGACAAAGCACTAGCCCAGGGCCTGAGGAAATATGAGATATGCACAGGATCTGGCTTCTAGGAAAACCAGGATAAAAAAAACCCAAAAACAATCTGCATGTGATAACTGTGATAACCTTAGCTGGTGTTAGCTTGGAAGAAGGAATCTGGGGCTTGGAGAGACCACTGCATTTTGTGGCATACACTTTGCTAAAACCCAGTTGAGAACTAATTGTAATGTTTGTGCTGCTTGAAGACTAGCTTTTAAGAACAGTGACTGGGGAGTGCAGCAATTCAGGCTCCTTGCCTGCATCACAGCCAGACACCACAGTCTACTAGACAGGTACCTGTTAGAGACCAAGCAACTTCCTTCTGCCCCAACCCCGTTTTTCCAAGGAGCCAAGCAGATCCCTGACTGTGTGGCCAGGCTCATCATGCAGCCCATCCCAACCCAAAATCCAGTGCTTCCAAAGGGATAGCAGAGTTCGGTTCAACAAACACAGCTTGGTTCAACAAACATAGGCACACTGCTAGGTACCTTTCATTACACATGAATAGGCTGGTACACTTTCCATCTTCAACAGTAAGTGGAGAGCTGTGTAAAAGGCAATCTGCCATTCATAAAGAAGCACTCACAGCACAAAAGCACTTTGAATACCCAATCACAGAAGCAAGGATTGGGATTTTATTGGCATCATAACAAACTACATATTGTCTCACTTACTGTCTGCAAAAGCAAACCAAAGCTGAGATCTTCAGGCCATGCTACCAAAGAGCCCAGAGCACGAAAGGACCCATGTGCCCAAATGCCCCCGGTAAGACTGATGGAAAGGGGTCCCACATGGACAGGAACATGAACGGATGCTGGGGATGGACTCTTCATTAGGGACTGTAGTGATAGGACAAGGGGTAATGGGTTCAAACTTAAACAGGGGAAGTTTAGATTGGATATAAGGAGGAAATTCTTTCCTGTTAGGGTGGTGAGGCACTGGAATGGGTTGCCCAGGGAGGTTGTGAATGCTCCATCCCTGGCAGTGTTCAAACCCAGGCTGGACGAGGCCTTGGGTGATATGGTTTAGAGCGAGGTGTCCCTGCCCATGGCAGGGGGGTTAGAACTTGATGACCTTAAGGTCCTTTCCAACCCTAACTATTCTATTCTACGATTCTAACTGCTGAACGGTGAGAACACCATGCTTAACAGCCTGTGTAGATTGACCATTATGACCTCTGGCTGCTAAATGTAAAGCAGATGTAGAAGGCTATTTCTTCCCCAAAGATCCTATGTGAGATCCATTTGGGAAAAATAAATCGGTAGTGAATAGATGTTAGAGAGCATGCAACCCACCCTCAAGCCCACATCTTGGCTGCTCAGATGAATCATTTCCTGTGTTCCACTGGCTGTGTCAATGGCTCTCCACCAACAAACTA